CCCAAAACGTCTTGAGACGGTTGAAAGCAAAACTGTCTACAAGCTGTTTTTTGTAGATATGAAGCGAGAACAGCTACGACAAGGAGGCTATATTCACCTTCCGGAGCATGCGCATGGGAGTATCAGAGGGCATCACCTGTTGCTACGATGCGCGCAGTGTATCGCAAGGGATCCAAAAGGGATCCAAAATGCCGCACATCGCCAAAGTAACGTTGAGAGCATGTGAACTTCTGCGATCGGCTAGCATAGCTTTGCGTGAGCCGCGCGATGTGTGATTTGTGGACTTCTCGGTTTCGCGACCGCCGGCGCCGCATCGCATCGCATCGCTTTGCAAGAACTCGCAAAAACTCTATACATCGATGCGGTGCGGGCTGCGGCATTCACGGAAGTTTTCTGTTCCGATGTGATGCGCTATGCAATGTGATCTACGGTAGCGTAGTACGATGGGGCGATTCGAGGTTACGAAAGTACAATCAAGCTTGCTCAGATTGCAGAAGGTCATGATAATCAGTATTATGATGGCTGAATCTTTCCCGAGCCTGGAGCCTAAGGGGCGCATACGCATAGGCCCGAGGGCTGTAGGCAAAACGGATGTGAACTAAGTTACTTCTGCGATCAGCAAGCATATTTGGGCGTGACCTGCGTGATGTGCGATTTGTAGACTTCTCGGGCTCGCGACCGTCGGCGCCGCCGCATCGCATCGCATCGCATCGCAAGAACGCGCAAAAACTCGATACATCGATGCGGTGCGGGCTGCGGCATTCACGGAAGTTTTCTGTTCCGATGTGATGCGCTATGCAATGTGATCTACGGTAGCGTAGTACGATGGGGCGATTCGAGGTTACGAAAGTACAATCAAGCTTGCTCAGATTGCAGAAGGTCATGATAATCAGTATTATGATGGCTGAATCTTTCCCGAGCCTGGAGCCTAAGGGGCGCATACGCATAGGCCCGAGGGCTGTAGGCAAAACGGATGTGAACTAAGTTACTTCTGCGATCAGCAAGCATATTTGGGCGTGACCTGCGTGATGTGCGATTTGTAGACTTCTCGGGCTCGCGACCGTCGGCGCCGCCGCATCGCATCGCATCGCAAGAACGCGCAAAAACTCGATACATCGATGCGGTGCGGGCTGCGGCATTCACGGAAGTGTTCTGTTCCGATGTGATGCAAAATGCCATGTGATCTGTGGTAGTGTATTACGATAGGGCGATTCGAGCTCGCGAAATTATAATCAAGCACGCTTAGATTGCAGCAGGTCATGATAATCATTATGAAGATGGCTGAATCTTGCCCGAGCCTGAAGCCAATGGTGCGTATACGCGTAGGCCCGAGGGCTGTAGGCAAAATGGGTGTGAACTAAGTTACTTCTGCGATCGGCAAGCATATTTGGGTGTGAGCCGCGTGATGTGCGATTTGTGGACTTCTCGGGTTTGCGACCGCCGACACCGCCGCATCGTATCGCGTCGCACGAACGCGCAAAAACTCGATACATCGAATCGGTGCGGGCTGCTGCATTCACGGAAATAACTTTTCTGTTCCGATGTGATGCGAAATGCCATGTGATCTGTGGTAGCGTAGTATATTAAAGATAGGGCGATTCGAGCTCGCGAAAGTACAATCAAGCATGCTTAGATTGCAGAAGGTCATGATAATCATTTTTAAGATGGCTGAATCTTGCCCGAGCCTGCAGCCTAATAATGTATACGCGTAGGCCCGAGGGCTGTGGGCAAAACGGACTACTACTATGTGATCTTAGTTACTTCTGCGATCGGCAAGCATATTTGGGCGTGAGCCGCGTCATGTGCGATTTGTGGACTTCTCGCCGAGAAGTCCACAAAATGTTTTCAATTATTTCTGAATTTTGGCTGGATTTTTGCACTTTGAAGTTTTTTTAATTTTGGCCTCATCAGGATTGAATTTTGGCCGTTTTTGGAGAACGACAGTGCTGGCACATCTGGAGAGTACATGTACATGTGCTGCTCAATAAAGTAAGAAGACCATAGGTCTGTGGGAAACACCCTAGTAAAATAAATAAAATAATAATAAATTGGTTGTGAGCAACACTGGCTCACACTCAAATAACTGCTTTTCACCAGAAAAATATTATATTTCAACGTTTCGGTCATGAAATAACCATCATCAGGAATGAAGTGGGCACACCGGTTAGGATGGGTTAATATACGAAGAGCGCTGCAAACTGATAACAAATCACACCTGCATGCACTATGACGAGAGAGAGAACAAAAGGACAAAACATCACCAAAAAAAACCAGGTATAGAAATAACGCAATACGCGACAACTCTAAATATGGCACAGGTACAAGCAACAAACAGAATGTACATGTGCACTAGGTGCGTGCAGACATGTAATTGCAGGCACTAGCAACAACAGTAGTAGTAACAGTGCACTAGTTCAAAAGCCCTGGGCGAGCACTACCGACTTCACCATGGCGGCGAGGTACTGCCGCTTGGCGAGTCGGCATTCACGGAGGTTCGCGTCCTTGCCACTGAGTCGGATCGGGCCAGGAGGAGAATACGCGAAGCAATACAAATTCGCGACACGAGCCCCAGCATAAACAATAACGCAGGGTGGGACCTCCTGTGAATTCTCTGGTGAAGCCTTGTACATATTTCTGGCCCTGATACTCGCTCTTCCTGGATGGTGGTGGTTTTGCACCCCTTGAACTAGTGCACTGTTACTACTACTGTTGTTGCTAGTGCCTGCAATTACATGTCTGCACGCACCTAGTGCACATGTACATTCTGTTTGTTGCTTGTACCTGTGCCATATTTAGAGTTGTCGCGTATTGCGTTATTTCTATACCTGGTTTTTTTTGGTGATGTTTTGTCCTTTTGTTCTCTCTCTCGTCATAGTGCATGCAGGTGTGATTTGTTATCAGTTTGCAGCGCTCCTCGTATATTAACCCATCCTAACCGGTGTGCCCACTTCATTCCTGATGATGGTTATTTCATGACCGAAACGTTGAAATATAATATTTTTCTGATGAAAAGCAGTTATTTGAGTGTGAGCCAGTGTTGCTCACAACCAATTTTTTACTTATGAAGCTGCGTGATGCGTCCTACAAGATTTTATAAAATAATAATAATAATAATAATGTGGAAGAGAAAAGGATATATGGATACGAGTTAAGAGTAACTCTCCATCACGATGTGATGGAGAGTTACTCTTAACTCGTATCCATATATCCTTTTCTCTTCCACATTTATTTATGGCTCAACATCCGAGTTTCAAATAATAATAATAATAATATATTACCAAGTTTGACATGTGAAAGCAGTACTTTCAAATACACACACCTTTGACCTTTTGACACCCATCCCCCGAATTTGGAAGCACACAGCAGTACAGACACAGCAGTACACATGGTATGATAAGCAGTTTGTAATAATTTTTTTTTTTAATTTTTAATAGGGCATTCCCACAGGCCTAAGGCCTTCTTACGGGGTACCCTATATGTGTTTGTATAGATGAGCGGAAGTCTGATAGCGTGGAGCAAATACAGAATCTAATCTTTATTTCAGGATTACCCAAAGGCTAACGCCTATCTGGGGGATCTCCTGTTTGTGTATGTACTTGTGGTTCTTTTTTTTTTTTCATTTTTGGGAAATGTTGGGTACGAGTACTGTAAAAACCATGGCAGCGGATCGAATTTTTTCAGCATTTTGGGGGATTTTTTGAATTTTCTTAAAACATTTTGACCGTTTTTTTCGCTTTTTGAATTTCAATTTTGGACAAAATAATTTGCATGATGTGGCCACCCTTACTTCTCGGGTCCGCGACCGTCGGCGCCGCCGCATCGCATCGCATCGCAAGAACTTGGAAGAGTGTATACTTGGGGAAGACGTGCACATTGACTACAGATGCATGGCACTGTGCTCATCGTTAGATCAAGCCATCGCACGGTCCACCCTCGTGACTAACAAAACCTTCCGTGTGAATACATAGCCTTGGTTCACTTCCTCGCATAGAAAAAAGTTCCAAAAACCGTCAACGAGTCTCACACCTGTACAAACTTCACCGCCGAGACCTACACAATCCTACGCTTAAAGCAGCATACATTCTCTGCAGAAACGAGTACCGCTACACCATACGGAAAGCTCGAGACTCGTATTTGTCTACACTGGGGACATCGAGGATAAGCAAAGGCAGAGCAGGCGGCTATTCGTGGTGGAAAAGAGCAAAGAAGATATGCAATATTGGCAGTAAGCCGCGTGGAACACAACTTCTCGCGGATGATGACGGCACCCACACATCTAGCAAAGCCAAAGCTGAAATCTTTTGTGAATTCTTCAGGAAGCAGTGCACCGCAAATTCCCAAAATCAGCAACCAAGTCGTTGTCCATCATCCAGCACCATTGATGACCAAGAGCCATTTTCGTTCACAAAAATCAAATCCATAGATGTCTATGAAGCTGCAAGAACATTGTCTGTGCACAAATCATCTGCTGACAGTTACCTATCAAATGACGTCCTCAGCCGCTGTGCGGACATCCTGTGTGTACCTCTGGCTTAACTATTCAACTACAGTCTTGAGCAAGGCGAGTTCCCTTCCGCTTGGAAGAGGCCACGATTATCCCAGTGTACAAGGAGAAAGGTTGCCCAACTCACCCTACGAACTGGCGCCCAATATCCCTCCTCCCCTGTATAGCAAAACTCTTTGAAAAAATAGTAGCGAAACAACTCCAGGCTTACCTAACAATAAAACAGAAGATATGCAGTCAACAATACGCATACGTGAAGGAGAAGTCTGCGACAGACCAGCTTATTATACTTACCCAGCAAATGGCCGACTACATTGATGAGCGTCTGAACTTCGACCTGGTCTCCCTAGATTTCTGCAAGGCATTTGACAGCGTAAGCCACTCAACTCTCCTCCGTCAAGTCAGCAAATTCTCGGACCATAAAGTCACTGCCTGGACTAAGAGTTATTTGCAGGATCGAAGCATAGCCGTGAAGATTGAGTCATGCATGTCAGTGCCCAAAGTCACCAACTGTGGTGTTCCCCAGGGATCGCATCTGTCTCCTCTACTGTTCGTGATCTACATTAATGACCTACCGGAAGCCATACATCATTCGCACACCTTCTTGTTTGCGGATGATGTCACTCTAATTTTGCCGTACAAAGGCTCTCTGTCAAGTCCTGGTATCCAAGCGGACATTCATGCATGCCAAAACTGGGCCAGGGAAAGAGGCGGAGAGTTTTCGCCCTCAAAAACTTCTGTTTTAAGCTTCCGTTATAAGCCAGCGGCAGCATCATCACCAGCACCAACATCTGCCACCTACAATATGGAGGGTCTACCTCTTCCCAGTATTGACATCCTCAAACATCTGGGAGTTCGCTTCAGTGCAGACCTAAACTTCCGTCAACACTATCTTGACATCAGTCGCAAATTCAAGCAGAGAGTAAGCCTACTTTGTCACATGGCATATCGTCTTACACCGCAGGCCATGATGCTCCTCTACAAGTGCTATGTTAGACCTGTGATTGAGTATAGCGTCGTAGTGTGGTCCTTTCGTCTTCGTTCCAGCGACTAGACTGAGCTGGAAAGAGTCCAGGCCAGGGTTGCAAGATCCTACCTTAGGAAACGCAAAATCCAAATCGACTTTAATTAATACACCCAAGCAGGATCTTAATAAAAAAGCTAACATTGAATCCCTTCTTTACCGCAGGCAGTTTTTAAGCTTATTATTATTATTACTCTTCAGTCACGACTTTCCACTGATGAATGTGACAAGAAAATTATTAATTATTCTGGTAAACTTTCATGACTTCGTTGTAGTGTGGCGATGACTGCAGGATTTGTTCTCTTTATTGCTATTATAAAATTGTTGTCTCCACGTCGATTATTTGCATTATTATTATTATTTTTCTTCTTATTTTGTTAGGGATTTCCCAACAGGCAATGTTGCCTTTTTACTGGGAAGTGGGAACCCTAAATGAGACTTTGTGTGAGCTCAAAACAAAGCAGGCGACTCGGCCAGGCGACAAGATGGAGGCAGCGCATTTCACCTGTCGGCACCAAGATACGCAAAGGAATGGAAGCTTGGTTACCATGCACAAATTTATTTTCAAGTATCGACGTTGCCTAGCTTCATTCCATTTCAATATCACGCAGAGTGCGAGACGCCCTAACAAAATTATTCTCCCTAAAGCAAAGACCACATCAAAATCGTTGTTTCTCTTCCAAACCTCCCTCTTATGGAACTGCCTCCCACCAAGACTAACTGCAGAACCATCCATTATTGTTTTCAAGAATGAGCTTCGCAAACTCATTTGCAAACATAGTGCTTCGCTCTCCGGTATGCCTACGCCATGTACATACCCCCCCCCCCCGTGTGCTCCCCTACGCATTCACGCTGCACAACTTTTCACTACTTTCACTTTAGCTCATACGTGTACATGTACATCCTTCAAAGCGGTGAACCCCTTGATAGGCGACAAGCCTCTGGGTACCGGGTCATCCTAATAAAGGTATTATTATTATTATTAATATCTCAAAAAAAAAAAAAAACGCGCAAAACTCGATACATCGATGCGGTGCGGGCTGCGGCATTCACGGAAGTTTTCTGTTCGGATATGTGAACTTGTGAAGCGCAATGCCATGTGATCTACGGTACCGTAGTACGATAGGGCGATTCGAGCTCGCGAAAGTACAACCAAGCATGCTCAGATTGCAGAAGGTCATGATAATGGCTGAAACTTGCCCGAGCCTGGAGCGTATACGCTTAGGACCAAGGGCTGTAGGCATAACGAATGTGAAATAAGTGACTTCTGCGATCAGCAAGCATATTTGGGCGTGACCTGCGTGATGTGCGATTTGTAGATTTCTCGCTCATTGCCTGGCATCGAACACAATGTTGTAGAAGTGCTGAGAACTCTAGCTCGTCTTGAAAGCCAACTTCAGGACCAGGAGAAACGATATCAACGAAGGATTAGTGGATTGAGCTCCGAACTTTCCCAGCTGAGAGAGGACCTGGCCGACACTCGCCTGTGCCAAAATTTGGACATCGGCAATGTTACGTGTGCGTCTTGTAAATCAAACTCCTCCGCCATTGCAGACCTAGAGAGAGAGCAAGAAACAACCAGCCAGAGGCAGCGCCGAAATCGAAACAAACGTAGTACAGGCACAGAAAGTCGTTCACAGTCCGCCGTACCCTTAGAGAGTTCACGACCCATTGATCCCGAGATGGACCTGCCAGTCTACTTCAGTCCTTTCGCTTGAAGGACGGAAGATGGATGTGCGCATCCTGAAGGATGATGGTACAAGTCAGTGGTATCGGGATATGTCATCCAGCATCTGCTTCAGCAAGGGAGCTCTGGCACTGTACTGGTGCAGTGGGCGAATGGTGACCCAGATGAACTCTTGAACCTTGACAAGGAAGAATGGAACATGGTAGACGAGAATGACGACGAGAGATCTGAGTATGATTCTGACTTCTCTATGTCCGAGGTAAAACATGTACTTCAGTCGATGGCATTCTCCAAGGCAGGGGGCCCTGATGGTGTCCCAATGCAGGTTCTCCAGCATCTCACGGACTCAGCCATCCAGGAGTTGACACGCATCATCAACATGTCTTGGACGTCAGGAATGTGTCCCCTCCTCTGGAAGTCCAGCCGGCTGGTGCCTATTCCAAAGTCAAAACCCGGAGCTTACCGCCCGATTAGCCTAACTAATGCATTTGCCAGAGTTGCAGACCGACTAGTCACCAGGAGGCTAACTCACTTTCTAGAACGCTTCCAGGCTATTCCGGGTGAGCAAGCTGGATTCCGGACTGCAATGAGTGCCGAGATGCAGTGTTGCTCCTTTGTTGAGTGGATCTCTCAACGTCAACAGAATGGTGATAGTGTCAACTGCGTGTTTTTGGATGCCTCAGCAGCATATGACAACGTGCACCATGACATTCTCATGGCCAGACTTGGAGCATTGGACCCGCCTGCCAGGCTCACAAAGTGGATCAATTCCTTCATTCGCGGCAGGGAAGTTGACACCAAGTGGGGGTCTACAGTGAGCAAGAAGAGATCCATCCACCGTGGTGTCCCGCAAGGCTCCTCGATGTCTCCCGTCCTTTGGCTTCTGTATATGGCGCCCATCTTCGATGACCTAAAGCTGCCTAACCTAGCAAAGCACCGTGCGGACTTTATGCCTTTCTTGTATGCTGACGACATCGCTATCGCTGTCTCCAGCCGTCTGGTCGAGGCTCTCCAATCTGTCACGCAGGATCTGTTGAACCATGTTGCCGACTTCTGCCGGCGCAGCTGTATCACCCTGAATGGCTCAAAATCTGTGCAGGTTGTGATATCGACTTCATATGCCATCCGCTGTGCTGCCATCCCGCAGACCTTGAACGGCACACCTATCCCTTCAGCTGATTCAGCTTGCTTCCTCGGTATATTGGTCAACGCAACGATGAGTTGGAACAGTGCCTTGCTGCACGCCGTCGCATTGAACAACGCCTTCGAATCGTGCGAGCTAGGAGTGGCCATAGCTGGGGCCTCAATCAGCAAAACACCACTCGGCTTGTCAACCAGTACGTGCTCTCTTCTGGTCTGTATGGGGCACCAGCCTACTATGGTCTTGCCACCAAGCAAGGTCAGCATCATCTTGATGTTGCCTACAATAGCTGTCTCCGCCTCTCCACTGGGTGCACGAAGACAACACCTACGAATCAACTACGTGAAATAGCTGGTGCACCAACTATCCAGCTGAAAGGCGAGCGCCAGGCGGCCTGTATAGCTAATATCGCGAAGCGTCATAGTGCTCCTACACCAGCTAGTGCCGTGTTGCAGTCAACATACCCTGTTCGGATCCGCAAAACCAAGGAGACATGGAGACAAATGGCAGAGCGGCATCTTCCACCATCCCCTGCACCTCTGCCATCCCGTCCTCCACCCTGGTCCTCCGTTCCAAACCTATCTGTTTTCAAGTCTGCTTGCACCCGGTCTGACCCTCCTACTGTACGACTTGTAGAGGCACTAGCATGCCTGGAGGAAGCCTATTGCTCCTGTTGTTCCTCGCGACGTCTAGACATTTGGACAGATGGCAGTGTCTCTGACACCAACGCTGGTGGAGGTGGTTTTCTTGTCATGGAAACCACTGCAACCCAGCGGTCAGAGATACTGTCTGGGTGTCTACCAGCTGGCGCTGTCGCAACATCCTTCACTGCCGAAGTAGCAGCAGCAGCAGCTGGCCTGAGGGCAGTCTACGACCTTACCACCATGGAGACGGACGTTGTGCTGGGCACGGACAACCTCTCCCTCGTAGATGCCCTCCGTGGAGACCCATACAGGATCAGCCCAGACACCATTGCTGCGTTCGATGCTCTGACAGAGGTTGCTCGGAAGGCTCATTCCATCAACCTTGTCTGGATCAGCAGCCACTGCGGTGTTGCTCCCAATGACAAGGCGGATCGCCTTGCGCGGAATGGAACACAGTGTGTACAGGCCCAGGTTCAGCTACCTATCCAAGCTGCCAAGGCTTCAATTCGGTCTGCAACCACATACCCCCGGCCATTACTCAACACCAGCAAGTTCCGCAGCCCTCCGTCCCGGCATGAGACCACCATCCTCAATCAGCTGCTCACTGGCCATTGCAGCCTGCTGAATAAGTACTTGTTCCAGATTGAGGCGGCACCTTCACCCGACTGCACTCACTGTCCTGGAACAGTTGATGATGCTGCCCACCTCCTGCTAGCTTGCCCTGCCAGACACAGCAGTCGAGCAGGTACACGTCTATGTACCTTCACATCAGTCAGGGAGGCAATTCTCACACAACCATCAGAAGCTATCCAGTTCTTACAACTGGAGAAACTGATCTAAGTTTCTACTACATGTACACTGTACTTTCACAGTCATTTTCATATTTATTATGACTTGTAGTTACCGAAGAAGAAGAAGAAGAAGAAGAAGAAGAAGAAGAAGAAGACCTGACTAGCAGTGTCAGATCCGACGTTGACAGCTCAAACAACAAGCCGTCCAACTCCCGTACACATGGTACACCCAGACCCAGCTCGGAGTTGACCCCGCCACGTGTGGATCGCTTGCCGAAATTTGAAGAGATGAGTGAGGATTCGGACGCCACATGGCGACTCATCACCTCCACCAAACCCACTGCGAAGAAGAGAGTCTTGTTTGTCGGAAATCTGATGCATGCAATTACTGCAGACCAGCTGAAGGAGTTCATCGCAGCAAGAGCAGCTGAGGCTGACCACAATGTCCAAGTGTTTGACGTAAAAATATTTCAAAAAGAAAAATCCTCCACTGCGCGTATTGTTGCCAGTGCAGCGGACGAATCGTTTCTCAGCAATAAGCGCTTCTGGCCAAGGCCTGTGTACACAAGAGAGTGGAACTTCGATAAGTACACCCAGTCTGATGCCAGTGGAGAACAACAAACAGCGCAGAGCAGCACCACGACCACCAACAGCAGCAGCAGCCGCACGGACGACAGTAAGAGCGGATACGGCGTGGATTGCGATATCCTAGATGACACCTGTGGAGCACCGGCCCGGACTCCAGGCCAGAAATCACGGGGCTATCAGCGTGACTCGCCGCCCGAGACGCAAGCTGCGAAGTTTAGTGTCACTGTTGGCAACGCATTTGCATCTCTAAGTCAGGATGTGGATAATATATCTGTGCAATGACTGGAAGAAGATTAGGCAACGACCCTGCTGCTCATGTACTGAATATGCAAACGCAAACTCCAACAATTCGAATTTTACTGCTGAACATTAGGAGCCTGAGGAACAAAGTTGGAGAGCTGGCATGGCTTGCCGACCTTCACAGTCCTGACATCATCTGTGTAAACGAGACCTGGCTAGACGACACCGTGTCTGATGGAGAGATAGCTTTGGATGGCTTCAACATACTGCGCTCAGACAGAAAAGATCAGGCCGGTGGAGGAGTCTGCCTGTACTCCAAGGCATCCCTCCTGGTCAAGCCAAGAATGGACCTCACAGAATCGGCAATTGAGAGTTGCTGGGGAGAAATCCATTGCCAATCTGGAACTTGTTTGATAGGAACCATTTATCGACCTCCATCTGAGCCAGTTCGATACTGGGACTGCCTGGACGACCATCTCCATTCAGTTATAAGGCCCGGGAAGAACGTGATTATTTGTTGCGACATCATCATAAACACCAATCCAACAGCACCTCCAGATCCACAGCTTCATTATCTATCTGACCTCGTGGCCAGCTACAGTTATATCCCGGAGTTCACCAACCGACTCGGTTCTCAGCAAACTCTGCACCAACCACACTGGATCAATTTTACAATACATTCGACCCTCTAAATATGGCTACTGTTATCCCCATCGCGTTCAGTGACCATGCAGCAGTTCTCAGTGAATTTCAACTCAGCCCAGTAAGAAGTACTGTAACTCCTGGGCTACAGCGACACTACCGAAACATAAATCATGACCAGTTCAAGGCAGATTTGGTCCAACAGGATTTTTGTGAAATTGACGGAAGCCCAACTGTCATGTGGACTGAGTGGGCCAGCCGCTTTCTACAAGTGTTAGACAGACATGCTCCTCTTGCACCAAGCCCTCGACGCAAGAAAAAATCAGTACCATGGATGAACCGCCAGTTATTACACCTCCTGACCAAGCGCAACCGGCTCCAAAGGAGGTGGCTTAGTGATGGAACAGAACATTCCCACTCAGCTTTCAAGGCTGCCAGGCGGAAGCTACCAGCTATAAATAGGCAACAGAAAGAGACCTACTACCAATCCAAGTTTCGAGCTGCGTCTGGCAATACCAAACAGACATGGCACACGATCAAAGAATTGAGTGGTAAACATCGACAATCTCAGCCACCTCAATGTTCTGTTGATGACATCCGAAACACCTTTGCAGAGATAGTAGAGGACGCCAGCCGCCCAGTGCATCTCTCATTTCCCTACGGGCCTGCCTCAAGCACTGATCTGACAGCCTTTGCGCCAGTGTCTATTGCCAGAGTGAGGAAGCTCCTCGAACGTTTAAATCCGGCCAAGTCCAGCGGTGATGATGACATTTCTGCAGCCCTTCTCCGCGCACATTCAGACGTACTGGCGCCATCCCTGACTTTGATCTTGAACAAGTCCCTGAGAGAGGGCATATTTCCTGCCCAGATGAAAAGTGCTAGGATATCGCCACTCTTCAAAGGCGGAGATCCGAGCATGCCAAAGAATCATCGACCAGTGTCCTTGTTATCGATTGCATCCAAAGTGTTGGAAAGTATAGTCCACGAGCAACTCACACGATATCTAGTCCAGAGCAATTTATTCCCGCCAACTCAATTCGGCTACAGATCCCACCACTCTACATCCGACGCACTAGTGCTAGCTGTGGAAGGTATCTGTGAGGCCCGTATGAACAAACTCAACACAGGTGTAGCCTTTGTTGATATGTCAAAGGCATTCGATAAAGTGAAACATCAAATTCTTGTGCAAGATCTGTTCGAACTTGGCATCTGCGACACGGCACTCTGTTGGCTGGTGGATTACCTCTCTGATAGAGAACAGTACGTTCGGGTTGGCCAGACTAGAAGTCTCCCGTACACCAGTTACTCAGGTGTCCCCCAGGGGTCGGTACTGGGCCCACTGCTATTTATTGTCTATGCCCGCGGCATAGCAGAAGAACTTTCGCCGTTTAATGTGGGAGCAATCCAGTTTGCTGATGACATCTCTATACGATGTAGCAGGGAGTCTGCGGAAGCTGTTTCTGCACACCTTTCAGCTGCTGTTCAGCACCTGGCCACCTGGCTGAAGGGCCGTGGTTTAATTCTTAATGAAAGAAAGACACAGATATTGCCTATTCCCCCATCCCCATCTCAAGCACTTGAGCTGCATGTCATTTGTAATGGGCAGACGCTGCCTGTTGTGAAAACGGCCAAGTATCTTGGCCTACATTTCGACTCAGACATGAGCTGGAACACCATGACAAGCCATGTTGCACGCCGCGTTGCCACTAAGATTGGGCTACTAAATCGAAGTGCAGCATGTTTGCCTTTTTCTTGCCGTGTTCAGTTTTTCAGGTCCTTTATACTATCAGAATTTGACTATGCATCTGCTGCCTATGCCCCTTTCTTATCGTCTTATCAGGATAAGCGCCTAAATAGTTTGTTCAAACGTGCGGCTCGCTCGGTGTGCAGGGCAGCCCCTCGCACTCACACGGCTCCCTTACTTCGCATGAATGCCCATACCCTCAGCATATACACCCACATGCACATTCTTGTATTCATTTGGCGCTGCCTGAACAAATCTTCAAGTACTCTGTTTGCAAGCTTTTTCACCCGTAGTCCCTCTCTCCGAACACGAGGAGGGAGCAGCAAGTTACTCATCATTCCTGTCTCCCCCACTGCATCCTCAGCTAAGCGCATTAGCCATGCTGGAGCTATCCTGTGGAACCAGCTCCCAGACACAGCACGCCTCGAAAGAAAGCGCTCCACTTTCAAATCACTAAGCCTGGCCTTTCTCTTAGGCAGTACCGTCAACTAGGATGAACTCATCTGCTTCACTACCTCTCTCTCTCTCTCTCTCTCTCTCTCTCTCTCTCTCTCTCTCTCTCTCTCTCTCTCTCTCTCTCTCTCTCTCTCTCTCTCTCTCTCTCTCTCTCTCTCTCTCTCTCTCTCTCTCTCTCTCTCTCTCTCTCTCTCTCTCTCTCTCTCTCTCTCTCTCTCTCTCTCTCTCTCTCTCTCTCTCTCTCTCTCTCTCTCTCTCTCTCTCTCTCTCTCTCTCTCTCTCTCTCTCTCTCTCTCTCTCTCTCTCTCTCTCTCTCTCTCTCTCTCTCTCTCTCTCTCTCTCTCTCTCTCTCTCTCTCTCTCTCTCTCTCTCTCTCTCTCTCTCTCTCTCTCTCTCTCTCTCTCTCTCTCTCTCTCTCTCTCTCTCTCTCTCTCTCTCTCTCTCTCTCTCTCTCTCTCTCTCTCTCTCTCTCTCTCTCTCTCTCTCTCTCTCTCTCTCTCTCTCTCTCTCTCTCTCTCTCTCTCTCTCTCTCTCTCTCTCTCTCTCTCTCACTCACTCCTTTCTTGCCGGTTGCCGTGCTTGTGACTTTTTTTTCCTTTGCTGCCGTGCTCATATTAGTTATCTAACTACAGCTGCATCTTCTTCTTGGTTCTGTTTGTCCGCTTATTATTATATATTTTTCTTTTCTCTTATTATCAGTGGGACCATTGTCATTAGGTTTAGGCCTGTTTTGGAACTCCACTTTAAATAAAGCCAGCAAAACAACAACAAGAACGCGCAAAAACTCGATACATCCATGCGGTGCGGGCTGCGGCATTCACGGAAGTGTTCTGTTCCGATGTAATGCGAAATGCCATGTGATCTGTGGTAGTGTAGAATGATTGGGCGATTCGAGCTCGCGAAATTATAATCAAGCACGCTCAGATTGCAGAAGGTCATGATAATCATTATTATGATGGCTGCATCTTGCCCGAGCTTGCTCGAGACTGGAGCCTAAAGCTGTGTTCACAACTGGCGCGTGGACGCGGTATGCTTGCGGTTCATGCGCCCCCAAACGCGCGCTCAGCCTTTCACAAAAACAGCATTCCGAGTCGTATTTAGCGCGTGCGACACCTTCGAGTACTAATTTTTTGACAACGCGAGTCAAAGTGACTGGCATGTACGCTGATACGCGCCTGATACGCGCTGAAAAATCCAACATGTTGGAAGTTCAATTTCAGCACGTTTCCGTCCGCATGGCGCCCCAAAAGCCAGCAAAAATACGCACAAACGCTTGGTTTCACGCGTACACGCGCCAGTTGTGAACACAACTTACGGAGGCTCCCACCTAAAGAAGTAAAAATAAAAGGTCCATGGACACCCTGTTTTTTTATGCATAGAATGGTGGAGTGATGTCTCTTCTTCAATTTGGTATAGTTTTTAGGTAGGGTCACCAGGCATATAAGAGGTATTCTGGTGTATTTAGTGAGTGTACAATTTCTTGATTTTCGGCAAAAAAATGGTAAAAAATTTGGTTTTTGACCCAAAGAAGCCTCCTGGAAGGAGGATACTAAGCATTTTCTTCATCATATGTTTAAGAACCACATTTGGAGGTATTTTGGCTACACAAGATAGACTGTGTCTTGGTTTTGCCCTTGGCGAGCCACTTTTTCGAAATTACGGGAACCGAAATTTCCATCAGGTGCTGAATTGTGAAATGGTTCAGCCTGCAACATTTTGTCCATGGACATATTGATTTTTGTGGCTTTCTGTGATCCTTGAGCCCCAAGGAAACCGATAATGGACAGTTTTGATGGTGTCACCAGGCACTTTAGGCCCCTACCAAACAATATAGGTATCGAAATATGGTATTTTTAGGCCAATTCTGAAAATAGCATTTTTAGAAAATCTGACCATTCTTGCCTTCTTGACTAAATATCACTACCAATGACATGGTAGTATGGTAATATTATTTTAGAAGAAGTTATTTTCATGCTGCAACCTCCTTTGGACATACCAGACAGTCTGTGCTTGGAAAGGTACATGTATCATTGCATGTACATGTATGTCATGTAGCCTTCAGTCCTAGCACATTGAGATACGAGTAGTGTACATGTACATGTAAGGCAGAGAGATTTCATAACAACCTCGACCATGAAACTGGCACATGAATAATGTGAAAGCAGGCATTCAAAATAAGGCACACTAAACACTCACGCGC